CCAAGAATGGAAAAACAAGCACCACATATACTCCCCAGCAAACTGGTAATAACTGAGCAGCACCTAAGTGGACACATAGGTACTACAGTAATTGGGTATTGGGCAGGTGGGAGGGGGGAGGGGTGAGTATATACATACATAATGAATGAGATGTGCACCATCTTGGGGATGGTCATGCTGGAAACTCAGACTTGGTGGGGGGAGGGAGGAAGGGCATTTTTTGAAACCTTAAAATTTGTACCCCCATAATATGCCAAAATGAAAAAAAAAAGAAAAAGATTATGTTGCCTCATTGTGGGAAAAATGGTTGTGAAATGTAGAACACTTCAAATAATTAAATAGCCTCAATATTATAAAGTTAAGTAGGAAATAGAAATATGCTAAAATATACCTATGCCACTTAGTTTAACTGATGAGTAAAAGTATATCTTGCTTGCTGGGGTTGGAGGTAATAAAAAAGGGGTAGACAGAATAGAAGAAAATGACAGAAGAGGATGGGCAGAAGAGGAAAACACTGGAAATTAATTACCTTAGGTATGAAATGTTAAGAGTTTTTCAAAAATTTATGTAAATTATTAACACGTTTATTCAACATTTTTCAGTATACATGTATGCAGCACCCACTATATGCCAAGCAGTGTAAGCCCTGGGAATACAAGGATGACTAAGACTTAATATTTGCCTTTAAGGAGCTGGAGCTTAGCGAAAAAAGATAAATAAACAGATAGAAGAAAATGTACTAAGTGTTATGACAGAAGGGTCTGTGATGTGCAAGGGGAGAACTCAGGCAGGAGGCTTTGTAAAGGTTTCAGGTGAATTAGCTCTTCTGCTGAGAAAACAGCTTGAGAGCTGAGAAAGGCAGGCCTTCGTGCTTTCAGAGCATTTATACTCCCTTTTACTTGTACATATTGACAAAATGATAATATTTTAAATAGTATCAATGCCACACCATAGAATATCACTATCTTTTGCATATGCTGCTCTAAAATATTTATGACCTTTTGATTAAACATAAGACCATAAATACATGCAGTTATTTATTCCTCACCTTTGAGAACCACACTGACAGTGAAAGAATTTTAAAAGGTATAAACCCTTAAGGATGAAAAGGAAAGGAGGAGCTACCAGATAAGCAATATAGAAAACATTACTAAAATGTTATAACACAGAGGGGTGAATAGTAACTGCTTAGCAAACCAGATAAACCGGAAACCTTGAAGTAAATTGAAGGAAGCCAATAGGAAGCTGCCAATTTTACCTCAAAATCCCAAAAAGTTTTACCCTCCATGCTAGAGACACTAAAAGGTGTAGGCAATACATGTGCATATACAAGATTTAGGCTCTCTCAATTAAAAAGCCATGTTACCACTTCATCACACTATAATAAACCTCACCTCTCAATCTATCCCATTATAAAGACTTTCCCAATAATTATTCAGCCCTTACTCTTAAATATAGAGAAATAGCCAAGGATCACCCAAGATGTAAAGAAAGATTCTAACGTGAAAGAGAGAAACCAAAACAGATTCTAGAATAGTGTCAGGTTTCCAGACAGAAATATTAAAACAGTGAAGAGAAACCTTCAAAGTTTTAAGGGAAACTATTTCCAATCTAAAATTCAGCCACTAGCCATAGTATAAATCAATATAATTATGGACTGCGGGTATTCTGGTAAATTCAAGGCCACAAATATTTTACCTCCTATGTATTCTCAGGAATCTTCTAGAAAATTAACTACATTGAAAAGTTGTCAGGAAACCAAGAGATTCAGGAAAGAGGGAGTGAGCCCAGGAAAAAGATAAAGGGAAAAGTCTCAAGATGACGCAAGGGCTCTAGAATGAACATCTGTAAGAAAAAAATAATGTCTAAAAAAATTAAAAAGGAATCTAATTCACTTAACATAGATGCACCTATCAAAACAGGGAATACTGTGGAAGGTCAGCTCAATACAGCTGTTGTATTAACATGGAAAAGGAAGAGAGTTAAAGAATAAGCACACAGATTATCAAAAGGAGATTTGAAATTTTAAAAAAGTGACAGTGTATTTTATAATTGATCTGTAAGAAAGTTCTATCACTTTTTAATGTTTAAATCACAATTTCAGGAAACTCTGGGAAAGGAAATATTGAAAATCAACTCCACTGACGAAGTTTTGCTAATTGAATTATTTGAAAAGCTCCTGAAATACACTGACATACTTCATTGACAGCTAGATTATGTAGAAAGAATTGTTGTTTGTTGAAAGTGTCATTTGTACCTGATTCTAACTACTGAAATAAATGTCATACATGTGCTTCTCTTTTAAAAATTGTGAAGCAAAATAAGAGAATGAACTGTCATATTTAATTCTCCTCCATTAAGGCTGGCTGAAAATTAAAATTCTTGCCAAAACTACTAGGTCCCCTGAGGCTCCCCAGAAGTCTTACGATAATACCTGGGCTAGTTTGAGTGGCTCGCTATTCCCTGCAACAATCCCTAATTGGTATGTGTAATAAAACATAAGCTATATAAATAGAACACGATTTCATGGGAAACAGCTATTACTCCTTAATTAAAAATATTTGATTGCATTTTCATTACCACAGAAAGAGTCTACTAGTATAAAAAGAAACACTTTGGGCAGAGTACAGTGGCTCGTGCCTGTAATCCCTTAGGAGGCTGAGGCAGGAGGACTGCTTGAGGCCAAGAGTTTGAGGTTGCAGTGTGCTGTGATGATCCTACCTGTGAATAGCCACTACACTCCAGATTGGTTGATATAGTGAGACTGTCTCTCAAAAGAAAAAGAAAGAAAAGAAAAGAAACACCTTATTCTTCAATCTATCCTCACCTCAAACAAAAAAGCACTTCAAACTTTTCAAAATTACTAGCTCATGAATTCAAAAACTTGAATTCATTAATCCTGGCAGATGTGAGAAATTGTCCTTCCTTTGGGGTCAATCAAAAGTGAAGAAAGAAAGTTACATTGTTGGTCAGAAATGCCTAATAGGCTCAGTATTCAGCTAAGAAGTAAAATAAATTTATTTAGTAAAAACAAACAACAAAGTAGCATAATTTGATTCATGACATGTAAAGTTAAAGAGATTTTATTTAATAGATTTTTGTCTGCTTAATAAATTCAACTAAGTTATTCAGTCCTCTTCCAGTTTTTAAAAAACTAAGCAAATTCTCATCGAAGAGCAATGAAGACTCAATAATTGGCTCAAAATTTGTAAACTGGCATCTGAAGTCATGTCTGAATCCCTAAAAATAAAAAACAAAAAATCTAATTTTTCCCTAGTGAGAATAATCATTTTGTCTCCCTAAACTAACCCACTTCCCCCAAACCCAAGAATAATTATCTTAAAAATGCTTACATGTTACAAATATATACAATTCCAAAATTAGTTTCCTGAGGCATTAAAAGGTCACATATGAATGTAACCACTAATATAACTAATAAGCCTTTCAAAGTTTGTGTTTCTTTTGATATGATAGTAACCTGCCTTAGAGACAGAGAGAATGGGATCTTAAATATGTTACCTTCTTGAAAATTCAATAAAAGAGATGCTAGTCCACAATGGTAAAATTTCATATGTGAATAAATATCTATCATTTGGTAATATTTAAGCTATTTGATAACAACACTGGAAAACAATCTTTTCTCCTCACTAAATTAAACTTCTTTATTTAACTTAGAGTCATGTTCATCAAAGCCTTTTCTGGGTCAAGGAATGAACCTGCACATTTAAGATAATTCTAGGAAAGACATTTTCTAATGTTAACCAAAAATTGCCCTTCCCTTCTCAGCCTAGAACTACTGGGTGAGTTCATTTCAATACACCAACCATTATAAAATCATTTTAGAAGACCCTTGACTACAGTAAAATTGGCCTCATTATTTCAGTGTACTCACACCTTTTGTGCACAGGCCCAGGACATAAGGAGTCAAAACCAACTCTGATGTTTTCTGACAGATTGAAGATGAACTGGATTCCATAGGGGTGTACACGCCAAGGACATCTAGAAGCCAAATGACAAAAAATTAACATCTCCGGATTCTTTCTGTGCAGACACAGGAGCAAGTCTGTGATTTATAAACTCTGAGTATATTATCAAGAGGATCAAGTCCATTAAATGCAGCTTTGTTCTGTTTCAAGATTTCATCAAAAATAACATCATACCCTGAAACTGTGTTTTCTATATCAAAAACTAATTACTCTGTAATTTGTTTGTGTTAGCCTCAGTGTTTATTTCAAAAGGGACAGAATCTCAGATAGGGTGTTGACTTCCTACGGTTCTTTATTCAAACATTTCATGAATTTTATAGCTAGAACTTTAACTCATTCACAGAAAGAATATCTTAAGGTCATCTAAGACATGTTTTGGGGCCAGTGTCACCTGGGTTGGAGTCAAATTTCTTAAAGGTAAAATGGAGCTAAAACCTGCATCATGGGGATATTAGGATTAAACTCAGCTGACATGCAGTATTTTAAAAATGTGAGGTTTATTATTTTAACTATTATTTCCATTCACTCAAAACTTACATATAACTCCTAAGAACCACTCTTCTTACTCTCATTCCAAGTAACTGACCCTTTTAAATTAATGAATGCAGTTATTGCAGAAGATTGTCTCACAGTCAAAAGGAGAAAGGTAGGAAGTCTTAATGGTGAGGGAAAGAATTTTCAATGAGCTCAGAGACTCCCTCGAAATTCAAAACCAACAGCAAAACTCAGTACCAGAGTTGCCAGAAATAAAAACAAAACAAGTTCTACAGTACTATCTAGCATTAATAGTACTGGAAAAGATGGCAAGATCACATATTACAAGCTGCACAATATCCTATGCATTACACTATACGACTACAAGATTCCTCAGTTCAGTCTTAGCCTGGTTTTCCCCCAAATCAGGGCCAAACGTAATGCCTATTAGGGTGTAAATTATTTGAGAATATAACCTCATACTGTATGAACAAGGAATTGGGTAAATAAAACCAGAAGAAGAGAAAGTAAATATATATTTTTGGAGAGGGGCAGGAATCATGGACAATGGAGATACAAAGAGGTTGGGGGATGGAGGGAGTGGATGATGGAAGGCTGCTTGGTGGGTACTATGTGTGTGGCTTTAGTGATGTATGCACTGAAGGACCTGACATCACCACAGTGCAATATATCAATGTAACAGAGAGAGAGAGAGAGAGAATATTTATCTCTGCCTGACTTTTAAAGCAGTAGTTTTCAACATTTATGGCCACATCTTCATATTGAACTAAAGTCATGTAGCCCTAAGATAAGTTTGTCAATACTCTTGCTGACTAAAAATATTTTCATATGATTCAAAGACAAGGGGAAATGTGAATAGCATTGTAGATATCTAAGATTCCTAAAGTAACAATCTATAATCCTGACTAAAGAAATAAAATGTTAAATCCACAAACTTCCTAGGACATTTTCATCTACCTCCTGATTGAAACATATTCTCTCCTCTCCAACCAAATCAGGACCAACTTCTAAAGAGATATTTTGGGAAACCCTTTGATCTTTTTAGCTTAAAAACTGCCTAACGCTTATCAAATAGTGATTCACTTTCCCTGTCTTTTGGAAAAAAACTTAAATATAAAATTGGTGACTATCATCCACTGTCATAATAATGTTGCTATGCCTTCCTACAAAACAAATAATAACCATGGTAGCAAAAGTAGGGGATATGTGATGTCAGCAAAATCCTGTGAGAAGTCTTTATTTACTCAGAAATCATGCTAGTATGCTGTTTAATATTTGTCTTAGAGACCAGATGAATTGTGGTAGGTTGAATGGTAGCCCCAAATGTCATGTTCATATTCAAATGTCTAGAACCTGTGAATGTTACTTATTTGGAAGAATAGTCTTTTCAAATAAATTAAATTAAGGATCTTAAAACACAGTATACCAAAACATATGGGATGCAGCCAAAGCTGTATTAAGGAGGCATTTTATGGTAATATATGCCCACATTAAAAAAGAAAGGTTTGAAATAAACAACCTAACTTTACACCTCAAAGAACTACAAAAAAAAAAAAAAAAAAAAAAACCAAAGCCCAAAGTAATCAGAAGGAACTAATAAAGATTAGAGCAGAAACAAATCAAACAGAGAATAAAAACATATAAAAATCAATAAAACTAAGAGTGAAATCTTTGAAAAGATAAAGAAAATTGACAAACCCTTAGCTAGAATAACTAAAAAAATAGAGAGAAAAGATTCAAAGAAATAAAATTTGAACAAAAGAGGAGACATTACATTGGATGCTTCAGAAATAGAAAGGATTATAAGGAACTATTATGAGTAATCATATGCCAACAAATTAGATAACCTAAAGAAATGGATAAATTTCTAAGCACATCCACCTACCAAAAATGAATCAATAATAAATAGAAAGTTTGAACAGACCAATAACAAATAAGGAGATTGAGTCAGTAATCAAAACAATACCAACAAAGAAAAGCCAAGGACCAGATGGCTTTCATGGGTGAATTCCATCAAATATTCAAAGAATTGATAGCAATCATTCTTTAACTCTTCAAAAAAACAGAAGAGGGGGGACTTTCAAACTCATTCTATGAGATTAGCATCACCCTGATACCCAAACCAGACAACTACACTACAAGAAAACTACAAGCCAATATTCCTAATGATTACTGATGCAAAAATCCTCAAAATACTAGCAAACTGAATTCAACAGCCCAATTAAAGGATTAAATACCATGCCCAAGTTGGATTTATCCCTGGGATGCAAGGATGGTTCAAAATATGCAAATCAATCAATGTGATACAACACATTAACAAAATAAAAGGACAAACCACATGATAATCTCAATAGATGCAGACAAAGCATTTAACAAAGGTCAATATCCACTCATGAATAAAACTCAACAAAATAGGTATAGGGAAGGAACTTACTTCAACACAATATAGGTCAGGTATGAAAACCTCACAGTTAACATCATAATCAGTAGGAGAAACTGCAATCTTTCCCTCTGAGATTTGGTACCAGGCAAGGATGCCCACCATCACCACTTTTTTTCAACATAGTCCTGGAAGCCTTAGAGAAATTATACAAGAAAAAGAAATAAAAAACACCCAAATTGGAAAGAAAGAAGTGAAATGACCCCTATTTGCAGATGGCATGAACATATATGCATAAAAATACCAAAAATTCAACCAAACAACTGTTAGAACAAATGAATTCAATAAATTTGCAGATACAAAATCAATATAACAAAATCAAGTACATTTATATACACAAACAACAAACTATCCAAAAAGAAAATCAAGAAAATAATCCCATTCACAATAGCAACAAAAAGAATAAAATACTTAGGAATAAATTTAGCTGAAGAGGTGAACAAGTTTTATGCTGAAAATTATAAAGTATTGATGAAGGAAATTAGAGAAGACACAGATAAATGGAACGATATCCCATGTTCATTGATTATAAGGATTAATATTGTTAAAATATCCACACTACCCAAAGTCATCTACAGATTCAATTCAATTACTATGAAAATTCCATTGTCATTCTTTTCAGAAATGGAAAAAACTATCTTAAAATTCATATAGAACCCAAAAGACCATGATTATCCAAAGAAATCTTGAGTAAAAAGAATAAATCTAGAGACATTACACTCCTCAATTTCAAAATATATTACATAGCTATAGTAATCAAAATAATATGATCTTGGTGTAAAAACAGACATATAGACCAATGGAACAGAATATAAAGCCTAGAAATCAATCCATTAATCTATGGTCCACTGGTCTTCAATAAAGGTGCTAAGAACATACAATGGAGAAAGGGCAGTGTCTTCAATAAATGATACTGTGAAACGTAATATCCACATGCAGAAGAATTAAATTGAACCCTTGTCTTATACGATATACAAAAACCAACTCAAAATTGATTAGACTTCAATGTAAGACCTGACACTTTAAAACTAGTAAAGGAAAACATAGGGGAAAACCTCCTGACATTGGACCAGGCAAGCAATTTTTGGTATGACCCTAAAAGCATAGACAACACAAGCAAAAATATACAAGTGGGATTACATAAAACTAAAAAGCTTCTAAACAGCAAAGGAAACAATCAACAAAATGAAAATCTATGGAATGGGTTAAAATATTTATAAACTGTATATCTAATGAGGGATTTATATCCAAGGAGCCCCTATAACTTAATAGCAAAAACAATAACTCAAAAATGAGCAAAGAGCTTGAATAGAAATTTCTCAAAAGAAGACATACAAATGGCCAACAGGTCTATGAAAAGATGCTTGATTTCACTAATCATCTGGGAAATGCTAGTCAAAACCACAATCACATCACACCTGTTAAAAGAGCTATTATCTAGACTAAAATGTTGGAAACACTCTCCTAGACATTGGCCTAGGCAAAGAATTTATGAAGAAGACCCCAAAGGCAATCAAAGCAGCAACAAAAATAAATAAGTGGGACATGATCAAACTAAAAAACTTCTGCACAGCCAAAGAAATAGTCATGAAAGTAAACAGACAACCTACAGAATGGGAGAAAATTTTCATATCCTACACATCTGATAAGGGGCTGATAACTAGAATCTACTTAGAACTCACAAAAATCAGCAAGAAAAAATCAAACAACCCTATCAAAAAGTAGGCAAAAGACATGAACAGAAACTTTTCAAAAGAAGACAGAATAATGGCTAACAAACATATGAAAAAATGCTCAACATCCCTAATCATCAGGAAAATACAAATCAAAACCACAATGAGATATCATTTCTCTCCAGTGAGAATGGCTTTTATCTAAAAGTTCCAAAACAATAAATGTTGGCATGGATGCAGAGAGATAGGAACACACCTACACTGCTGATGCGACTGCAAACTAGTACAGCCTTTGTGGAAAGTAATATGGAGATACCTCAAAGAGCTACACATAGAACTACCATTTGATCCAGCAATCCCATTACTGGGCATCTACTCAAAAGAACAAAAGACAGTCTATAAAAA